CTTAATATTATGTTCCCAAAGCCATGGATGCATACATTGAGATCATAGTGCAGTCGTTATCCGAAACCGTGGCGACTTTGAAAGAGAAAATATATCGGGCGGTAGATTTTCGAGTAAGCAAACAGGAGATAAGCGGAAAACCGGGGTTTTAAAGGACAACAAGTCACTTGCATATTACAATGTGGGAGCAGGAGAATTGCTAACAATGTCTGTGGAATGGATGCGATGGAAATAATGCTTTGTAATGGATGTTTTAAATTGGTGGCCAAAACAATCTCTACTCTGCTATAAGAATGATTATTACTCTTGATTTATGTTTGTGTACGTTTGGTTGTGGAATTATCTTTAAACAACTCTTTGATATGTAATTAAATACTTCGTCTTTGTGTGGATTATGTTCTTCGTACTCATGGTTTAGTTTCTCTAGTGGAGTTTGGTTTCTCTTCTACGTAGCTACGTTACGAGGATGTTACTTGGCTTATGTTGCTCTCAATATGATCATCAAGAATACTATTTACTATTTCTTCATCAATACCTATTGGATATTTTCTTTTTCTTTTCGTACATTTTGTTTCGAAATTTCATTAGGTCATATAAACAAAGCAATGTTCCAGTAACAAACATAGCTTTTGACTAGGCCGGCCTTTGCCTAGACCAAGCATGATTTTGTGGTCATCTAAAATTTATAATTGGATTTGTTACAAAACAATTCATTTTTTTATTACAATGTGTAAAACGATATTTTTTTCTCTCTAACTTGCAGTAATTAACCTAATAGTTATGGCAATTTCGGAGAAACTTCAAACTCTCTAAGTGTGTATTTGTCTCCTAATAATGACCCAAAAAAATCTGCTCTATATTTTTGTTTTGGTATGTAACCTTTAACTTTAAAAAAAAACTATGTAACCTCTAACTTCACAACTGCAATATACGACGCATAAATAAAATATCTTAACATGTACAGAGACGTGTGAAAGAAAGACACACACGTGTTGCTCATGCAACATTTGTTTATAGTACAAAACAAGAGTTTCTAGAATATTCTTGTTGGTTCCATTATTATTTTGTAATTATAGTAAACAAGACCAAGTCAACAACCAACTTTGTTCATTATGGATCGTCCACTTGTCCGACTCTCACAATCGACCCATCATTCGCTCTATTTATATATATCTTTGAACAATAACACGTATTCAACTCAAAACGTAATACTTTAAATTATTTCTCAAGATTTTCAAAATTTATCGATTTCGAATATGTGTTACTTTGAAGATCGGTGCGATCAGAATATGACGGTGGTGAAGATGGGTGTGGCGTGGTGGGTAGAGGCGGCTCCTCCGCAAGTGATTTGTCCGGAGAAGCCATCGACTTCTCCGATTCTAGAGACGATTTT